ATCACAAATCTGAAATGAAATGATTTGTCTCCGGTGCTCCCCCGGGGTGGAGAGAGAAGGATGCGAGTGACACCCCTGATGGTCCTGTTCTCCTCTCCTGCCAGGATCTGAATTTCCACTAGCAGGGGTCTCAAACCTCCGGCCCTCCAGATGTGGTGACACTACAAGTCCCATGAGGCATTGCAAGACCCTGACAGCCACAGGCATGGCTCCCAAAGGCAGATACATGATGGGATTTGTAGTTACAGCACAGGTGGAGGCCTGCAGTTACTCACCCCTTATTAAGTGCCTGGATAGCGGATGGGTGTAGTCGGGGGGTCTCACCTGATTGAAGTAGATTTTCGGGCTGTAGGATAATGAAATCTTCTCTCTTTTCTTCAGAGGGGAAATTCCTGATCTGAACAAGATTCTGGACCGAGATGACCTGACCATCATGAAGAGAGCCATATACTCCACCCAGGTGCCATATATACACCTATATACCCCACTCTATATACCCCACTCTATATACCCCACTCTATATACCCCACTCTCTATACCCCACTCCCTGCTGCTAGAAGAGACCATCCTGTGACGTTACGGTGTTCTATCGAAAGCTCCAACTCGTCGATATCTCCAACTACCTCACTGCCGGGTACTTATAGTTGGAGATTTCGACCAGACGGCATTAGACTGCAAAACACAAAGACTGACGGAGCTCTGTACAGCTGCATTTTAACACTATTCAGCAGGTGGCAAACCCGACGAGTATTCTGAAAACGCTGTGCGCGCATGCGCAACTCAACTGTACAGAGCTCCAGTCTTTCTGAGCACCGGAAGTGAGGTAGTTGGAGATTTCGATGAGTTGGAGCTTTCGATAGAACACTGGGACTCGAGATCAGCAAAACTGAGTGACTTTGCTTTGCCAATATGTTGCCATTTCACCTAAAAACCCATTGCCATCCACGAGGAAGGTACAACTGAAGACAAAGCTTTTCTTTTTAGTTTTCTTAGAGGGTTTAGGGCCCCTGTCAGGTTTTTATTGCTGTGTGTGCCTCCGCAAAGGAAGATTCACTCTGTCTATTTGTCCTCACCGAAAGGGAAAGAAAATCTCAAATTCAGGGTCAACAGACAGAATAGGAATAGATGGGAAATCTTCCAATGGAGACGCCAGTTCTGGTGACCACCAGGGATATCCATAACTTAGGAGGGATTTTCTCTCACTTCCTGTTGTGGCTATCAGACAGGAAGTGAAAGGATTTAAAGCAGTTTGTTTAATTTAATCCTTTGTTTTTCTTTTTTGTTATGTGTGTACCGTCACTTTTCCAGGATAGGTGAAAAGTGCTTCTGTAACACATGAGCTATACAAAGTGCATTGTACCCCCCCCTCCCCCCACACAACCACCACCAAACTACCAAAAGCACCTCATCTTCACCTCTCCTATTGAATGCATTTTGCTTAAGGCCCCATTCCCACTAAGCGATTTATCGCGCGACTTCCGCAGCGATATCACGCATTTTTGCCGTGCGATATCGCGAGAAGTTGCCGGCCAATGCTATTCAATGGAGCTGTGTTAGCTCCATGTCGCTCGTCGCTCCGGCAGGACCCTTTTTTCGTCGGATTTTGCACGATTTTTCTATTTTTTAATGGAGGCCGGCGGTGAAGGTCGCGCTACCGCCGCTGGACGTCTCCCCCCGAACAGTCGCGCTATCCCGGCCGCGCGGATCCGCCGCTAAAGGTAAGTCGCTCAGTGTGAATGGGGCCTGAATGGTGAAATTTGGCCAGATCTGATTTTTTTCTGAAGTTTCAGAGAAATGACAAGTCTCAGTTTTGCTCATCTCCAGTTATATTCAACACTTGGACTGATCGACCACCGGCGTCGCTGTCTCCGAGCTGCTAAAATGGACTCCGCTTTCTTCTCGGATCCCTGGTTGCCTCTTTGCGCTGATACCTGTATAATGCTATCATATACTGTATGTATGTCTCTGTATTGAACATTCTCTGCAGCACTATAACAGTTTATCTCTGTATTTTCTATCCCAGCGCCAATCTTTGCCCCCCATCACTACACACAACATGGTGGACGACTTGGCGGACCCGATCCTCAACACCGTCAGACGGATTGGCTTGTTTAACAGTCGGACGGACAGAGTGAAGGTCGGTGTGATGAGTGTGTTTAATGATGTGACCAATGATCCGGGAAATGCTATTTAATTCTCAATCAGGATATGATTACCATTCATTTCCTTAACGCGTCAGACATATCCGTAGCTATAGACAGGAATATATATCGATGTGCGTCCCGGTCCATAGAGTCAATATTGGATCGCTGGAGCGAGAGACAGAGGCTGAATAATGTGGATTCTGGGCAGATATTTAGGAATGACGCATGAATGTGAAATACATAGAAGTGTGTGGAAGAAGAGGAGGAATATTCCGAGCTTTACACTCAGACTGTTCTCCACCATTATATATTGTACTATCTATCATGTCCCTTTATATTCTGCCATTCCCGCACTGGATACAAAATATCAGGAGATGAAAAGAGCTCCATTTGCAAAATCAGAAATTCTTATGCGGGCACATTCTATAATACATTGCGGGTTAAGTGAAGTCGGCAGAGAAGAGGACCTGTCAATGTTCTGTAACCCATAGTAGACAATTACAATTTGTGACAATATGTGGCACTTTCTATTCCGCAGCTGATTGTGCACCCGGAATTCCTCTCTTCCACCAGCCCGCTCCTACCGATGGACTATGAGGAGTTTGTCCGAGGGTGCCATCTGGGGGTCTTCCCGTCCTATTATGAACCCTGGGGATATACACCTGGTGAGTGACTGTGAACTGTAAGTGGCCTACAACCCCTGGCTGGGGACACCTACTGGGTGTCTCCGACCCGCATGTCAACCTATACATTACTAATAAGATCCGCTTGTGTGTAGACATAATTTCACTTATTGGTATGGTGCTAACATATTCCGCAGTGCTGTAGTGAGAACACTGAGCCACAGGGAAGCTTACAATCTAATGTCCCTCCACGGGCATACGCTGTTATTATACATGTATATAGCTCTGACATATTCTGTAGTGCTGTACAGAGAACACTGAGCCAATCACATTAGTCTCTGCACCAGAGTAGCTTACACTCTAATGTCCCCACCACAGTCACACACAGGCCCGGACTGGGACTAAAAATAGGCCCGGGCATTTGAGACTGAGCAGCCCAATCACATCACCCCAGCAGGCCCCACCTCAAGAAAGCCAGAGGCGGAGCCAAACAACAGCGCAATCGAGGTTGCATTATAGTTACAGTGCTGTGCAACACCCACCTAGCACTAATTGTGTGTGGCTCGACCTAATTGTTTTCACTGCCCAATAGCCAGTCCGGGCCTTGTGGGAGCCCCTCATAATGGGCACAGTGGGTGTGCAGACTAAGCACAGGGATGGTAAGAGCCCCTCATAGTGGGCACAGCAGGAGTATAGACCCCGGAACTCAGCTCAGGGATAGCGGGAGCCCCTCATAATGGGCACAGCAGGTGTACAGACCCAGGAACTCAGCACAGGGATGGTGGGAGCCCCTCATAATGGGCACAGCAGGTATACAGAACCGGGAACTCAGCACAGGGATGGTGGGAGCTCCTCATAATGGGCACAGCAGGTGTACAGACCCAGGAACTCGGCACAGGGATGGTGGGAGCCCCTCATAATGGGCACAGCAGGTGTACTGACCTGGGGAACTCAGCAGCACACCATGGCTATGAGGTCTCACTGGGGCGGCATGCGGGTCTCGCCGGGGTGGGTCTCGCCGGGGTGGGTCTCTCCCTGGTGGCCAGCGGAGGCTCCCTGGTGGTTAGTGGGGGCTCCCTGGTAAATAGTGAGGGCTCCCTGTGTAGGGTGACCATTTGTCCCCGATTTCCAGAGACAGTCCCCGGATTGCAGAGACCATCCCCGGACAAATTATGTCCCCAAAAATGTCGCATGGGATATTCCCAATGTTTTATGGGAACATAAAATAATTTTTTTTTTTAAATACTCACCTGATCCTGGGATCCACCGACAAGCGCAGACTCCCGTCTCCCACGCTGTCAGAATATGACAGTGTGGTGTGCAATATAGAACATTATACAGCGGCGCAATGGAGAATAACAGCAACAAATCGCAGCAATAGTACATTATACTATATTGTACTATTGCTGGGATTTGTTGTTCCTCTATACCTGCTGGTATTCTGCATTGCGCCGCTGTATAATGTATTATTGCTGGGATCTGATGTATTCCTCTATAGCTGGTGTTATTGGAGAGGACGGGTATGATGGTGGAATGGTGCAGGGATGGAGAGGACGGATATGATGGTGGAATGGTGCAGGGATGGAGAGGATGGGTATGATGGTGGAATGGGGTGCAGAGGACGGGTATGATGGTGGGATGTGGTGCAGAGGACGGGTATGATCGTGGAATGGGATGCAGAGGACAGGTATGATGCTGGGATGGGGTGCAGCGGACGGGTATGATGGCAGGATGGGGTGCAGCAGACGGGTATGATGGTGGGATGGGGTGCAGAGGACGGGTATGATGGTGAAATGGGGTGCAGAGGATGGGTATGATGGTGGGATGGGGTGCAGAGGACGAGTATGATGGTTGAAGGGGGTGCAAGGATGGAGAGGATGGGTATGATGGTGGGATGGGGTGCATAGGATGGGTATTCCAGGCTCCGGGGTACTCGGGGCACTTACTGTCTGAACATTCCCTTCAGTTCTTTGATCTGCTGAACTCCTTGAACTTGGTGTAGGGATTGAAGACCCTCATGCTGGGCCCCCATCCGCAGCCGCCGTTTCAGCCTGGATGCCAGCTTGTCCCCAGCCATCGTCTCCGTCCCCCGGCTGACACCTGACCGCACCGGCCCGGCTAGATGTAAGAAGTGCCGGGATTGGAGGAGAGCCGGGGGCTGGAAATATAGCTCTGACATATTCCACAGTGCTGTACAGAGAACACTGATCCAGTCACATCAGTCTCTGGACCAAAGGTGCTTACACTCTAATGTTCTCTCCACAGTCACATACTGTTATTATGCATATAAATAGCTCTGACATTGCGCAGTGTTGTACAGGAAACATTGAGCCATTCACATCAGTCTCTGCATCAGAGGAGCTTACACTCTAATGTTCCCCCACAGTCACATGGTACAGAACGGGAAAGATTTGCAGACAGGATAACTTGTCTGAATTGATTTTTGCTGACTGGGGTTCCCTTCCCCGTCCTGCATTGTCACCACCTCTGAAAGAGGAATCCTGATGCTGGGCTGAGCGATGGAGATTCCTCAGCGCTGATAATAACTAATCTCTCACACTTCATTTCCTTTAATGCGTTATTGATTTGTCAGCTCTGTGCACATTAATGTGGTAGCTATAATTTACAGCAGGGAAATCCCCGCAGTACAGAGGACAATCAATTGGCAGTGGGGGAAGATTATCACATTAATAAAACTCCCAATTAAGAAGTGTCTTTGGGAAAGTCCAGAGTTCAGGTTATATGGAGTCTGACTGAAAAAGGAAAAGGCACAGGTGGGGCTCCAGGGAAAAGAAGGGGCAAAGGTGGAGCTCCTGGGATAAGAAGGGGCACAGATGGGTCTCAGGGGATAATAGGGGTACAGGTGGGTTGCCCTGGATTAGAAGTGGCACAGGTGAGATTCCCAGTATAAGAAAGGGCACAGTTGGGGCTCCTAGGATCAAAATGTGGGTTTCCCAGGATAATACAGTAAGTGGTCCAGTGGGCTAACAGGATAAGGAGAGGCAGTGGCAAGTTTCTGTAATGAGAAGTGGGACAAATGGAGCTTCTGGAAAAACATGTGCAAATGTGGGGCCGCTGGGATAAGAATGGGCACAGGTGGGGCTCCTAGGATAAGAATGGGCACAAATAGGGTTCCTGGGATGAGAATGGATATAAATGGGGTTCCCATAATAAGAATGGGCACAGGTGGGGTTCCTGCGATAAGAATGGGCAAGGATGGGGAACCTGGGATGAGAATGGGTACAGGTGGACTCCTGGGATAAGAATGGACACAGGTGGACTCCTGGGATAAGAATGGGCACACGTGGGGCTCCTGGGATAAGAATGGACACAGGTGGACTCCTGGGATAAGAATGGGCACATCTGGACTCCTGGGATAAGAATGGGCACAGGTGGACTCCTGGGATAAGAATGGACACACGTGGGGCTCCTGGGATAAGAATGGGCACACGTGGGGCTCCTAGTATAAGAATAGACACAGGTGGGGCTCCTGGGATAAGAATGGGCACAGGTGGGGCTCCTGGGATAAGAATGGACACAGGTGGACTCCTGGGATAAGAATGGGCACATCTGGACTCCTGGGATAAGAATGGGCACAGGTGGACTCCTGGGATAAGAATGGACACACGTGGGGCTCCTGGGATAAGAATGGGCACACGTGGGGCTCCTAGTATAAGAATAGACACAGGTGGGGCTCCTGTGATAAGAATGGGCACAGGTGGGGCTACTGGGATAAGAATGGGCACACGTGGGGCTCCTGGGATAAGAATAGGCACAGGTGGGGCTCCTGGGATAAGAATAGGCACTGGTGGGGCTCCTGGGATAAGAATGGGCACACGTGGGGCTCCTGGGATAAGAATGGGCACAGTTGGGGCTCATGGGATAACAATGGGTACAGATGTGGCTTCTGGAATAAGAATGGGCACAGGTGGGGTTCCTGGGATAAGAATGGGCACAGGTGGGACTCCTGGGATAAGAATGAGCACAAGTTGAGCTTCTGGGATAAGAATGGGCACATTCTGGGATAAAAATGGGCACATGTGGGGCTCCTGAAATAAGAATGGGCACATGTGGGGCTCCTGGCATAAGAATGGGCACAGGTGGGTCTCCTGGGATAAGACTGGGCACATATGGGGCCCCTGGGATAACAATGGACACACATGGGGCTCCGGGGGTAAAAATGGGTACTGATGTGGCTCCTGGGATAAGAACGGGCACAGGTGGGGATTGTGGGATAAGAACGGGCACAGGTGGGGCTCCTGGGATAAGACTGGGCACATATGGGGCCCCTGGGATAACAATGGACACACATGGGGCTCCGGGGGTAAAAATGGGTACTGATGTGGCTCCTGGGATAAGAACGGGCACAGGTGGGGATTGTGGGATAAGAACGGGCACCGGTGGGGATTGTGGGATAAGAACGGGCACAGGTGGGGATTGTGGGATAAGAATGGGCACAGGTGGGGATTGTGGGATAAGAACGGGCACAGGTGGGGATTGTGGGATAAGAATGGGCACAGGTGGGGATTGTGGGATAAGAACGGGCACCGGTGGGGTTTGTTGGATAAGAACGGGCACAGGTGGGGATTGTGGGATAAGAATGGGCACAGGTGGGGATTGTGGGATAAGAACGGGCACAGGTGGGGATTGTGGGATAAGAATGGGCACAGGTGGGGATTGTGGGATAAGAACGGGCACAGGTGGGGATTGTGGGATAAGAATGGGCACAGGTGGGGATTGTGGGATAAGAACGGGCACAGGTGGGGATTGTGGGATAAGAATGGGCACAGGTGGGGATTGTGGGATAAGAACGGGCACAGGTGGGGATTGTGGGATAAGAATGGGCACAGGTGGGGATTGTGGGATAAGAACGGGCACAGGTGGGGATTGTGGGATAAGAATGGGCACAGGTGGGGATTGTGGGATAAGAACGGGCACAGGTGGGGATTGTGGGATAAGAATGGGCACAGGTGGGGATTGTGGGATAAGAACGGGCACAGGTGGGGATTGTGGGATAAGAATGGGCACAGGTGGGGATTGTGGGATAAGAACGGGCACAGGTGGGGATTGTGGGATAAGAATGGGCACAGGTGGGGATTGTGGGATAAGAACGGGCACAGGTGGGGATTGTGGGATAAGAATGGGCACAGGTGGGGATTGTGGGATAAGAACGGGCACAGGTGGGGATTGTGGGATAAGAATGGGCACAGGTGGGGATTGTGGGATAAGAACGGGCACAGGTGGGGATTGTGGGATAAGAATGGGCACAGGTGGGGATTGTGGGATAAGAACGGGCACAGGTGGGGATTGTGGGATAAGAATGGGCACAGGTGGGGATTGTGGGATAAGAACGGGCACAGGTGGGGATTGTGGGATAAGAATGGGCACAGGTGGGGATTGTGGGATAAGAACGGGCACAGGTGGGGATTGTGGGATAAGAATGGGCACAGGTGGGGATTGTGGGATAAGAACGGGCACAGGTGGGGATTGTGGGATAAGAATGGGCACAGGTGGGGATTGTGGGATAAGAACGGGCACAGGTGGGGATTGTGGGATAAGAATGGGCACAGGTGGGGATTGTGGGATAAGAACGGGCACAGGTGGGGATTGTGGGATAAGAATGGGCACAGGTGGGGATTGTGGGATAAGAACGGGCACAGGTGGGGATTGTGGGATAAGAATGGGCACAGGTGGGGATTGTGGGATAAGAACGGGCACAGGTGGGGATTGTGGGATAAGAATGGGCACAGGTGGGGATTGTGGGATAAGAACGGGCACAGGTGGGGATTGTGGGATAAGAATGGGCACAGGTGGGGATTGTGGGATAAGAACGGGCACAGGTGGGGATTGTGGGATAAGAATGGGCACAGGTGGGGATTGTGGGATAAGAACGGGCACAGGTGGGGATTGTGGGATAAGAATGGGCACAGGTGGGGATTGTGGGATAAGAACGGGCACAGGTGGGGATTGTGGGATAAGAATGGGCACAGGTGGGGATTGTGGGATAAGAACGGGCACAGGTGGGGATTGTGGGATAAGAATGGGCACAGGTGGGGATTGTGGGATAAGAACGGGCACAGGTGGGGATTGTGGGATAAGAATGGGCACAGGTGGGGATTGTGGGATAAGAACGGGCACAGGTGGGGATTGTGGGATAAGAATGGGCACAGGTGGGGATTGTGGGATAAGAACGGGCACAGGTGGGGATTGTGGGATAAGAATGGGCACAGGTGGGGATTGTGGGATAAGAACGGGCACAGGTGGGGATTGTGGGATAAGAATGGGCACAGGTGGGGATTGTGGGATAAGAACGGGCACAGGTGGGGATTGTGGGATAAGAATGGGCACAGGTGGGGATTGTGGGATAAGAACGGGCACAGGTGGGGATTGTGGGATAAGAATGGGCACAGGTGGGGATTGTGGGATAAGAACGGGCACAGGTGGGGATTGTGGGATAAGAATGGGCACAGGTGGGGATTGTGGGATAAGAACGGGCACAGGTGGGGATTGTGGGATAAGAATGGGCACAGGTGGGGATTGTGGGATAAGAACGGGCACAGGTGGGGATTGTGGGATAAGAATGGGCACAGGTGGGGATTGTGGGATAAGAACGGGCACAGGTGGGGATTGTGGGATAAGAATGGGCACAGGTGGGGATTGTGGGATAAGAACGGGCACAGGTGGGGATTGTGGGATAAGAATGGGCACAGGTGGGGATTGTGGGATAAGAACGGGCACAGGTGGGGATTGTGGGATAAGAATGGGCACAGGTGGGGATTGTGGGATAAGAACGGGCACAGGTGGGGATTGTGGGATAAGAATGGGCACAGGTGGGGATTGTGGGATAAGAACGGGCACAGGTGGGGATTGTGGGATAAGAATGGGCACAGGTGGGGATTGTGGGATAAAAACGGGCACAGGTGGGGATTGTGGGATAAGAACGGGCACAGGTGGGGATTGTGGGATAAGAATGGGCACAGGTGGGGATTGTGGGATAAGAACGGGCACAGGTGGGGATTGTGGGATAAGAATGGGCACAGGTGGGGATTGTGGGATAAGAACGGGCACAGGTGGGGATTGTGGGATAAGAATGGGCACAGGTGGGGATTGTGGGATAAGAACGGGCACAGGTGGGGATTGTGGGATAAGAATGGGCACAGGTGGGGATTGTGGGATAAGAACGGGCACAGGTGGGGCTCCTGGGATAAGAAGGGACACAGAATTATTAGGAGAAAGTGGAGCCCCCCTCTGTCTTTGATGTATCTGCTCCGCTCAGTGACACTAGCCGTCCTTTATCTAGACTCTGCAGAGGTGACAGTAAGTGACATGTGACAGACACAAGCCGCTCTCTCCCCCTCATTGTTATATGACGGATTCATTGGGAAGGTGCAGAGGAAGTGAATCGGGATCAGTTTCCCGTGTATTGGAGGCTGATGTAGCAAATATCTGGTGATAGAGATGATGAGTCACCCCGAGAATTGGGCAGTGTGATGAATTCCTGTGTGAATGGAGTGCAGGGAGATCATAGCAGAGAAGACAAGTCAGAGCCCCGGATGTCCCTGTCCCGGGATCACTAAGTTCAGGTGAGATTCACAGAGTGGAATAAACACGCTCCAATCCAACCAGACTGGATCTGTGAGTGCTCCACCAATCTGCAGCACCCACCGTACTATTCTACAGGAATGTCAGTGCAGCAGCATTGTACAAAGTGCTGCGCATTTACCATGCATTGCCGTATGTGTTACAGGATGCGTTACTGCAACACATGGGGGGTAAAGACTTACTAGCCTCTCCTTCTCAAACTGCTGATTGCCTGGCTTCCTTATGCTTTCCACATCTCTGACCTCAGCTTAGCAATATGCAAATTAGGAGTTCTGACTCCATACTGACTTCCCTTGCTGCATGCTTGTTGTGGGAAGAAGTATTTGACGTTTTCCAGATACATTATAAAAAATAATAATAATAAATGTGTGAAGAATGATGATCCTCCACACAGCTCCCGGTGTACTTACCAATGTTGCTGTTTGTCATGTTCCAGCGGAGTGTACGGTGATGGGTATTCCCAGCGTCACAACCAACCTGTCTGGATTTGGCTGTTTCATGCAGGAACACGTCGCCGACCCGGCTGCTTACGGTAAGAAAATGCACAATACCGGAAAACACCGGAATGTTTATACATGTCAGAAGGTTGGTGCCACATCAGTGCAGAAATGTATTAAAGAAAAACTCCAGGAAATAACCAAATTAACCCTTGCCATGGGGATACCCCCGCCCCCACTGGAAGGGTTAACTGCTCCTTTGTGTCTAGGGGACGGCATGCAGAAGATATGCTCACCTGATCCTGGGTCCTGCCTCCAGTCAGCGCTCACCTCTCTTCAGCTGTTGTATGTCCCTCGGCGTCCTCATGTCTAATGCAAGTGACTGGACTGCATTAGATGTGATGATGTCACCAGGGCTTAGACTGCTGCATCCCAGGAAGAGGTTGCGGGTACCGGTCTAGCTGCCAGGCAGGATTGAGGGAACTGCTAACGTGTTTCAGCCACACGGCCTTAGTCATAGCTATGATTGAGGCCATGTGTGGCTGAAACAAGTCAGCAGTTCCCTCAATCCTGCCTGGCTGCTAGACCGGTCTGAGCTACTGGCTGAAACGCGTTAGTCAGGCTTATGATGTGAACCGTTCATCTGATCAGGTGCCGGCCTTTGGGGTGTTCGAGCTGTGCGGCCGTAATTCCTGTTGCGCGCGCAATGCGCACCATAGAACACTTCCGTCCCGTTCTGTAGGAAAGTTTTTGCGAATGCGCGGCCGTTATTTTCACCTTAGAGATATGTAATAAAGGACTGGAACATGAGGCTGTGTGCTGGAACCCCCGAGGCCCAGAGACTTAGCATGATGTCCTTGGCCATAGATGATGGCAACAAGACACTCAAGGTGGCCATTCACTGTGCAATTCTAGCTGGAGACTGTGCTCTTTGTTACTGGAGACTGATGCCTTTATTACAAGGGACTGCTGGGGACCTCTACAGTGTTATTAGAGACTTCTAGAGGCTGCTGCAGTGTTAGTACAGAGTGCAGTTGACCAGCGCATTGTTACTAGACACTGAGAGTGTTAGAGACTGCTGCCAAGATACAGAAGAGGAAGTGTTTCATTCTGCATATTAAGTATGAAGCCAGTACCAGTTGTGAGCCCGACCATGGAAGGACTGCACTGGAAGCAGACCCGGGACACGGACATGAAAAGCTTCTCCCGGAAAAGGTGCAAATTCCATGACTCAGAGGAAATATCCAATAGGAAGACAGTGAAAAGTTTCCTTGTTTTCATTTTCAGGGATTTACATTTTGGATCGGAGGTTTCGCTCGCCCGATGAATCCTGTAACCAGCTGACCCAGTTCTTGTACACTTTCTGCCAACAATCCCGGCGCCAGAGAATAGTCCAGAGAAACCGAACCGAGCGATTGTCAGATCTGCTGGACTGGAGGTATCTGGGCCGGGTGAGTGCTGAGTAATATCAAACAGTACAACTTCTATGCCGGACGTAATTCTCAGCATCTGTTCTCAGTCTGTATGTATGGACTTTGCACAGTACCACTTCTCCTGTCCTGTATGCCGAGTGTCATTCTCAGTATCTGTTCTTATTCTGTATGTATGGACTCTGCACAGTACCATTTCTCTTGTCCTGTATGCCGGGTGTAATTCTTAGTATCTGTTCTTATTCTGTATGTATGGACTTTGCACAGTACCACTTCTCTTGTCCTGTATGCCGGGTGTCATTCTCGGTATCTGTCATAATGTGCTCTCTCATGTCTCCTAGTTCTATAGACACGCTCGTCACCTGGCTCTCTGCCGAATGTTTCCGGACAAGTTTGAGATGGAGCCCAGCGCACCACCGAAGGTGAGTACCGGGATGTGTACAGGGAGATGTTAAAGGGTAAAGGGGCGGAGCTGCAGTGAGTTTGGAGAGGGGTGAAGCTACAGTAAGCTTATAGAGGGGGTGGAGTTGCAGTGATCTCAGAGAGGGGGCGGAGCCAGAACCAGAGAACACACTATCTGGATTTTCATATCTTCACATCCTGCAATATTCAGAAGACGAGGGTTCCGGCAGCAATGGGGTAGCCAGGTTGGGAAGACGAATGGCGGGATAAAAACAAGAGACATTCAGAACGCAGGATGTGCCCCTCCCCCATGTGGGGTTAACCCTTTAATTAAATTGTAGCCGTCAGTTAACACATAAAAGATTTCCTCTCCGCTGTAACGGAACTTCTGTGATTCGGGAATTCAGCTGAGGAATTCGTCTTCCAGTCCCGGCCGGCTTTGTCTCTCTTTATCTCTCCTGTAAATATCATTTTACTGCGTCTGGATCAATAATATCATAAAAGGCGCGCGAGGAAATGCTGACACCGCTTCAGCGCCGACAGCTGATCGTAACTTACACACCAAAGTGGAGATGACGCCAATTAACTTCCATGCAGCGTGTCATAAAAGAGACGGATGGATCGGAGGGTGCAGTGGGCGTCGGAGCCTGCGAAGTGCGTAACTCAACAAGGAAAAAATCTGTCCTATAATAGATGGGACCCGGGGGAGG